CCTGTAAGGCCGGCAGACCTTTTGAGTTTTTTTTTTCAGCGGACAAATGCGTTGCAAAACGGTGTTTCTAACTCCCCTGGAAATTTTCCGAGTGGCATCCGGAATAGCAGTAAGATTTTTTTATTCTGGACGATTCTCTTCTCATCGTGAGGAACTTTCGATGCTAGAACTTTAGCCGAAAATCTGTAGTCTTATATTGCTTGGTGTTTAAAAAGTCTTCGCACAGAACGTCACACAGGCAGTCTTGCCAAGAGGTGGAGTTGACCCAAATTCATCTATAGCCATTAGGCTAATCGAAAGCACGAGGTCTAGACAATTCGATATTTGTGCCTATTTGACTTTCGTTCGAAATCTAAGATTCTGCACAAGAAATAAGATTCATAGTTAGCTTTAATAGTCTGGAGTTACACGAACCTTTTACTTATAATTTATTACAGTCAATTAATGGTTCGTTAAAATATCTGGTGATAATTGAGCCTTGGTGTAAAAACTTTGGTTATTTCGGATAACGCCGTATCAACATCTGCGGTTTGGCTGTGCGGTCTATAGACAGTCAGAAATTTAAAGTTCGTGCACCAAGCGTCTTCAGCTTTAAATAAAATGGTTCACATTCTCGGGGACAATTGATTGTACGTGCTGACGCGATTATTCCCCACATGCCATAAAATATTATACTTTTTACTATTTTGTATAGACGGTACCTGGTAGTCCTCGAGTACAAATTCAGCATCAGCCACATTGACCTGTCAAGAGGGCTGTGTAATTAATAGGATATCCGTTTGTAAGCCTGATATTCAAGCTTTAAGAGAATCCCTCCCCTGGATTTTTGAGCGCGTAGTGCGTCGGGGTTGCTGGACGTGGTAGAGCAAGTGAGTAATCTCTTTGGATGAAGGGGGGAAGGGAACCTCACAGGCCAACGTCACTACCAACGAACGTGTAGCTTTATGGGTGACTGAAGTGAAGAGCCGTGGATGTAGCGGTATGGAGTGAGATAAACAAGATGCATGAGAAGAGTCGTCTGTAGAGCTCATGGGACCGGTTTATTTTGTCAAGCCACAGTTACATCATCACCTTCCTAGTTTCGTGCGACAATTTCTGACTGTATTTCAAAACTGTATGCAGTTTCGGTTCCATTTTACGTCAAGACTCAAAAATGGCATGATAAATCATCGCTCACAAAATTCCTGTGTGAACGTAGGAGTTCAAGGCCAAAATGCCGACCAATCATTTTTGCACATTAAATTAAATGCGCATGTCGAATCCCGAAACGACTTTCATAGCGTTTAAGACGTGCTAAGTTAGCCCCGATGATCACATGCCACTCGGCCTACGAATCCCGCTTTTGCCCAAAATTCGATGCCTTTTGGCGTTTTTGCTGATAATTGTTTTTGTTGTCACTATCGTTTTCTTCCGGCAACAGGACACACACGTCCCAGTCAAAAGTGTCGTACATTGCAAATGCTCATCTGGAGACGGCG